GCTGGCAACGAGCCACGGCGTTGTCCATCGGCATTCCTCCATCCACCACCAAAACATTTTATATTTCTCAACGCGCCGTGAGGAGTTGTGCACGGTCGGTATCCGCTCCACCGTTTTTCGGAGCGCGAGGGATGTTGTTTAGCCGGGTGGTGGCGGCGGCGGTTGCGGCCGCGCTGCTGCACGCGGCCGCCTGTGATCCGGCAGCGGAGGCAGCGGCGAGGGTTGGTGGGTCGCGCGCAGATGGTGCGAAACTCCCTTCTAGCCGTGGGGGTCGTGTCACAGAGGTCGCAACCGGGTACCCGATACCCGTACCCTACCCGATACCCGGGTACGGGTAGACCGTGAGTCACTGGCGAGTCACCGTTTGTTACTCATTTCCCAACGTCTTGTCTCTTCTCACAATCCAAGTTCCTAGAATCAACCCACCCGCGCCTGCAACATGGCTTCATCCCAGAGGTCGCAATCAGGTACCCGATACCCGTACCCTACCCGTGTACGGCCGGGTACGGGTACCCGTTTGTGACCCTGGTACGGCCGGGTACGGGTAAGGAATCAAAACCCGTTTGCGACCCCTGCCGTGCCCTGGCTCGCCAGGAGAAGGCGGTGCAGAAAAGTGTGTACTCGGCTGTCCCGTCTGTACGGGATGGAGTGTTTCCCCTTCCCACCATGTGCACACTCATTAATTGGCCGATAACATCTTCATGTATATGGGGGACCCGCAGAGATTGGGTCGTGGTTGGCGGCCAATGGAGGGGACGCACGCGAGGAGACGTCTACGGCGGAGACGGAGCGGCGAAATCGGCACCTAGATCGTTAGACACAGTGTGAGACAGAGTGTGAGACACACAGACAGACAGTGTGAGACAGACACACAGAGTGTGAGACAGAGTGTGAGACACACAGAGTGTGAGACACACAGAGAGACACAGAGTGAGAGACAGACAGAGTGTGAGACACACAGACAGAGTGTGAGACACACAGAGAGACACGGATTGAGAGACAGAGTGTGAGACACACAGAGTGTGAGACACACAGAGTGTGAGAGACACAGTGTGAGACAGAGTGTGAGACACACAGACAGAGTGTGAGACACAGAGAGACACAGAGTGAGAGACAGACAGAGTGAGAGACAGACAGAGTGTGAGACACACAGACAGACAAGAGTGTGACACAAAGTGTGTGTATACAAGCAGACTCGTGTGTGTGTGTGTATATAGGCAGACACGTAGACACGTGTGTATGGATACAGGCAGACACACAGACGGGTTGTGAGACAGGACGGAGACTTCTCGCCTCCCGGGAGCTCGCCGCACCCCCGTGGGTGACATTTATTGCGGCTCTTTCTTGTCCCGGCTTCAAACGGAGCAAAGCGGCCAGCTTGGCACACCGTGCGGTGGTGGTGGTGGTTGTGGTGGAAGTGGTGGAGGTGGTTGTGGTGGTTGTGGAGGTGGTGGAGGTGGTTGTGGAGGTGTTGGTGGAGGTGGAAGTGGTGGTGGAGGTGGTGGTGGAAGTGGTGGAGGTGGTGGCGGTGGTTGTGGAGGTGGTGGAGGTGGTTGTGGAGGTGTTGGTGGAGGTGGAAGTGGTGGTGGAGGTGGTGGTGGAAGTGGTGGAGGTGGTGGTGGTGGTTGTGGAGGTGGTGGAGGTGGTTGTGAAGGTGGTGGTGGAAGTGGTGGTTGTGGTGGTGGAGATGGTGGTGGAGATGGTGAGGGTGCTAATGGTAATAATGATGGTGATGGTTGTGGTAGCTGCCTGCACAGGTGCTCGCTAACAGCACCATCAGTCAATTAAAGGGCTTTATGGGGGATCTTGTCTTTGGTGATGGTGGCGGGGTGAAGATGACGAGCTTTTGGTGCCTGTCAGTGGCGTTGGCGGCATGGGAAGGTCTTCATCCAGCAGTGGAGTGATCATGGCTGACGGTGATGGTTCGTTACTCTATCCTGCTCAACACCGCACACGTGTCCCACTCATCGTCGCAATCTCAATTGTGACGAGATGTTGACTACCTCGCCTGGTGTGCAGGAGGTCGTGGGTTCCATCCCGACACCGACGACGCCTGCTGCTGTATTATTTGGAGTTTGCTTGTGCTCGACATTTGTTGAGCTAGTGGGCATCAGCTGGTAAAATACAAAACAGTTTAATCGTTTAGTAGGTGGTGTATCGCTCTACATCAGAATCTTCATGTGGAGGGCAGGAGGAGGAATCCGATGAGCTATGAAGCTCTTTTTCACAGGTCAGCAAAGGAGTGTAAAATGGTAAGCAGCTCACTAAATATAAAAAAAATCTATAAAAAAGTAATAAATTGAGTAAGTCCGATTTATCACGCTTGGGCAGCAGCAACAGCAGCAGCAGTATCAGACCGAGACAACAGCAGCAGCAGTATCAGACCACACCGAGACAACAGTAGCACACAGCGACCTCGACACAACGGCACATGAAGGTTGCACTCTCGCTACGACTCAGGTAGCATCGGAGAGCCGTACACTCTCGGTGCTTCTCACGGTGGCGGCGGCGCTGGTGGTGGCGGCGGTGGTGGCGGCGGTGGTGGTGGCGGTGGTGATGGCGGAGGTGGTGGTGGCGGCGGTGATGGTAGTGGTGGCGGTGGTTGCGACGGTGGTGGTGGTGGTTGCGGTGGTGGTGGTTGTGGAGTCACAACACTGGGCTCTTTATTTGCCCGGGGCACAATTTGATCCTCGGCCATCGACTGCCCCCCCCCCCCCACCTGCCGCATTTATTTATTTATTTTGTATTATGCCGTCGAACAGAGCTCCCTTAAACTCGCCGTGCGAGCGCCGCCGACGAGGCGGATTATTTATTTATTTGTCTCCCCCTTCCCCCGTCGCCGGGCCTCCTGCCGCAGGTGGGTCTCACGTTTCTGGACCTGGCGGGGGCTGGGGGGGTGGTGGGGGCTGGGGGGGCGGCGGGGGCTGGGGGGGTGGTGGGGGCTGGGGGGGCGGCGGGGGTTGGGGGGGCGGTGGGGGCTGGGGGGGTGATTTGCGGGCGACGTGAACGCTGCCGGTTTGTTGTTTTGGTCTCCGCACCGCGGGGGCGTTCGATCGATCGCCGTCCGTTGCTTCGCTCGTCGCCGTGCGCCGCATTCCCCCCCACTTCTGAAGGATGCCTCCGTCTAGAAATAATGACGACGGCCACGACGATGCTGATGGTGATGTCAACTCATAACGCCGCACCCAGGGCCTTCGGTAGAGGGGGGTCTGCGGGACCCCCCCCCCGACGCCTTCAAACTAAACCGGGGAGGGGGAGCATCACGTCTGGCACAACCGTGACGTCGAAGCACGGGCCCCTCAAAGCGCGGGGCCCCCCAAAGCGCGGGGCCCAGGGCGGTCGCCCAGACTCGCCGTGTACCCGTCGAGAGAGAGACAGAGAGGACGACTCAAAGGCGCCAGGAGGAACCACAGACGAGGAGTAGTGACGCAGCAGCGGCCACACCGTGAGGATCCGGCGCTACCAACAATTGTCCGAGCTCTGCGGTCCTCTAGACATGAAGGTGGTGTCGGCCGACTAGTAGGTGTTTGTATTGATTATTTGCGAGCACCTGGAAAGAAAACCGCACGCGACCGTGCGAGGGGGAATCACTCTATTCCCCCGTACAGGCGGAACAGGTGGCGTCCGCACTTTGCCGTGCCGCCATCCCCTGGCGAGCCAGTCTCGCTGCTGCCTCCACGGCGCTCGATGAGACGCCACGTGACCAGCTGCTGCCGCCGCCGCCGCCACGTGGCTGTATCCGAGTGACGCGGCCCAGCGGTAGCGCGTTAACCGCTTGTTGTCGGGGTTCCCGGTTCGAACCGGGCAGGCCGCCCCGCTCCAGTCACTGCGGCTGCGTCGACCGTCATCACAATCCCACACGCCGCCTGCCAGAGTCGGCGTTGGGCTCCAATTTTTTCCCAAAGTGGCCGTGGGACACAGCGGCGTCTTTCTCCGCGGACAGCCCTCCTCTCCCAGCACTTGCTTAGCTGCCCATTGAGGCTATGAAAGGGGGGGGGGGGACCCTTTGTCTTTACGCCGCGCTCCCTTCTCTCTCTCTCTCTCTCCGTGCGCCGGCATCGTCTTACACACGAGGAGTGGCGGTGGCGGCGGCGACGGAGGAGGCGGCGGCTGCCACGTCGTCGTCGCCGCCGCGGCCGCTGCTGCTGCTGCCCACGCTCGCACAGGGGGCGCATTGTGAGCGGCGCGCACCGCCGGACGCATGCGGCGCGGAGACACGGGAGGGCACGCTGGACAGGACCATTGCGCGTCTCCGTTATGTTAGACGGATTGACTGCTCGGGTATCGCCAGTTCGCATGTAGCAAGTCGCACTCTGACCTACTGCAACTTCTGAACGAGGTCCTACAACCTTGACAAGATTCTTTGCAAACTCTCGAAGAGGTCGTACAATATTAGGGAGGCCTACGACCTCTGGAGGCGGAGGAGGCCTGCGACATCGAGGAGGTCCTACAACCGTGAGAATTTCCTCACGCCTTGAGATGGTTCCACAAAGTCCAGGAGAGGTCCTACAACATTGAGGAGGTCCTGCACGCTTCAGGAGGTCCTCCAACGTCTGGAGGAGGAAGAGGTCCGGTTACATTAGGGAGGTCCTGCACGCTTCAGGAGGTACTCCAACATCTGGAGGAGGTCCTCCAGGTTTGAGAAGGTCCAACGACGTTTTCGGAAATTCTAGTCGTCATCGTCATCGCCACCACAATGAGGAGCCTTCCTCGTCCCATCGAAATGTACAACCCGGTGAGTCCAGGCTTTGTGGCCGCGAGGGGCCGGGTGACGTTCACGCGTGGGCGAGAGAGACCACGGAGACACCGCCAGTGTCTCTCTGTCTGCAGACACGTGGTGCGTGTAGCACACGCGTGCATTCAACAACGACAACAGCCGCAGCCGCCAATAGCCAATAAGTGGCGGCGGTGACGTCTCCACCACGGGGCTTGCGCCAGGCTAGGTGAGCGTGCCCGGGCGACCGTCGCCTGACGCTGTCTCTGCCCCCCCCCCCCCACAGACGTTCACGGCGTGGTGCAATTCCCACCTCCGCAAGGCCGGCACGGCCATCGCCAACATCGAGGAGGACTTCCGGGATGGCCTGCGCCTCATGCTGCTGCTGGAGGTCATCTCCGGTGAGCCGCCCCATCACTCCTCACGGGTCACCACGGGGGTCACCACGGGGGTCACCACGGGGGTCACCACGGGGGTCACCACGGGGGTCACCGTGAGGTCACCACGGGGGTCACCACGGGGATCACCACGGGGGTCACCGGTCAGGTCCTGATCATCATCGCGAAGATCGTCCTTGTGGCTGCCGCCGTGGTGGTGCGTGCTGTGTGTGTGTGTGCATGGCTGTGATGGTGTGTGCTGTGTGTGTGACCATGGTGGTGCGTACTGTGTGTGTGTGTGACCGTGGTGGTGCGTGCTGTGTGTGTGTGCATGGCCGTGACGGTGCGTGCTGTGTGTGCATGGCCGTGGTGGTGCGTGCTGTGTGTGTGCATGGCCGTGACGGTGCGTGCTGTGTGTGTGTGTGCATGGCCGTGGTGGTGCGTGCTGTGTGTGTGTGTGCATGGCCGTGACGGTGCGTGCTGTTTGCGTGTGTATGGCCGTGACGGTGCGTGCTGTGTGTGTGTGCGCATGGCCATGGTGGTGCGTGCTGTGTGTGTGTGTGTGCATGGCCGTGACGGTGCGTGCTGTGTGTGTGTGTGCATGGCCGTGGTGGTGCGTGCTGTGTGTGTGTGCGCATGGCCGTGACGTTGCGTGCTGTGCGTCTGCAGGCGAGCGTCTGCCGAAGCCGGAGAAGGGGAAGATGCGCGTTCACAAGATCGCCAACGTCAACAAAGCGCTCAACTTCATCGCCAGCAAGGGCGTCCGCCTCGTCTCAATCGGAGCCGAGGGTAACGGTCACCATCATCGTCACCGCCGTTGTCACCATCGTCGTCGTAACGATAAAACGGATTGGTGATCGTCGCCTTCTGCTTCTGTCGCATGGAGCCAGCAGCACCGACGAGGGGCTAGATCGAGGTTAGATGACCAGCCATGAAGAACGTGACCGGATGCCCGAAGCAACCTTTGTGAGCCAGTGAGTCTGTGAGCGTGTGAGGTAATCTGTGCGAGCGAGTCTGTGCGTGATTCTGTGCGTGATTCTGTAAGTGTGTGAGTGAGTCTGTGAGCGAGTGAGTCTGTGCGTGATTCTGTAAGTGTGTGAGTGAGCGAGTGATTCTGTGAGTGAGTCTGTGAGCGAGTGAGTCTGTGTGTGATTCTGTAAGTGTGTGAGTGAGTCTGTGAGTGTGTGAGTGAGTCTGTGCGTGATTCTGTAAGTGTGTGAGTTTGTGCGTGAGTGAGCGAGCGAGTCTGTGAGTGAGTCTGTGTGTGATTCTGTGAGTGAGTGCGTGAGTGAGCGAGTGAGTCTGTGCGTGATTCTGTAAGTGTGCGAGTGAGTCTGTGCGTGAGTGAGTGTGAGTGAGTGAGTGTGTGAGTGAGTGTGTGAGTGAGTCTGTGAGTGTGTGAGTGAGTCTGTGCGTGATTCTGTAAGTGTGTGAGTGAGTCTGTGAGTGAGCGAGCGGGCGAGTGAGTGATTCTGTAAGTGTGTGAGTGAGTGAGCGAGTGTGCGAGTGAGTCTGTGCATGAGCAAGCGAGTAAGTCTGTGCGTGATTCTGTGAGTGTGTGAGTGAGTGAGCGCGTGAGTCTGTGCGTGAGTGAGTGAGTCTGTGCGTCAGTGAGCGAGCGAGTCTGTGCGTGATTCTGTAAGTGTGTGAGTGAGTGAGCGAGTGTGCGAGTGAGTCTGTGCGTGAGCAAGCGAGTAAGTCTGTGCGTGATTCTGTGAGTGTGTGAGTGAGCGCGTGAGTGAGTGAGTCTGTGCGTGAGCGAGCGAGTGAGTCTGTGCGTAATTCTGTAAGTGTGTGAGTGAGTTTGTGCGTGAGTGAGCGAGTGAGTCTGAGTGTGTGAGTGAATCTGTGCGTGAGGGTGTAAGCGAGTCTGTGTGTGATTCTGTAAGTGTGCGTGTGAGTCTGTGCGTGAGTGAGCGAGTGAGCGAGTGATTCAGTAATTCTATGAGTGAGTCTGTGCGTGATTCTGTAAGTGCGTGAGCGACTCTGTGTAATTCTGTAAGTGTGTGTGTGAGTCTGTGAGTGAGTGAGCAAGCGAGTCTGTGTGTGATTCTGTACGTGTGTGAGTGAGTCTGTGCGTGAGTGAGCGAGTGAGTAAGTCTGTGCGTGAGTCTGTAAGTGTGTGAGTGAGTCTGCGTGAGTGAGCGAGCGAGCGACTGAGTCTGTAAGTGTGTGTGTGAGTGAGTGAGCGAGCGAGTGAGTCTGTGTGTGATTCTGTGTGTGTGTGAGTCTGTGAGTGAGTGAGCGAGTGAGTCTGTGTGTGATTCTGTAAGTGTGTGTGTGAGTCTGTGAGTGAGCGAGCGAGTGAGTCTGTGCGTGAGTCTGTAAGTGTGTGAGTGAGCGAGCGAGTGAGTCTGTGCGTGAGTCTGTCTGTGAGTGTGTGAGTGAGTGAGTGAGCGAGCGAGTGAGTCTGTAAGTGTGTGAGTGAGTCTGCGTGATTGAGCGAGCGAGCGAGTGAGTCTGTGTGTGTGTGAGTGAGTGAGCGAGCGAGTGAATCTGTGTGTGATTCTGTAAGTGTGTGTGTGAGTCTGTGAGTGAGTGAGCGAGTGAGTCTGTGCGTGAGTCTGTAAGTGTGTGAGTGAGCGAGTGAGCGAGTGAGTCTGTCTGTGAGTGTGTGAGTGAGTGAGCGAGTGAGTCTGTAAGTGTGTGAGTGAGTCTGCGTGAGTGAGCGAGCGAGCGAGTGAGTCTGTGTGTGTGAGTGAGTGAGTGAGCGAGCGAGTGAGTCTGTGTGTGATTCTGTAAGTGTGTGTGTGAGTGAGTGAGCGAGTGAGTCTGTGCGTGAGTCTGTGAGTGAGAGAGCGAGCAAGTGAGCGAGTGAGTCTGTGCGTGAGTCTGTCTGTGAGTGTGTGAGTGAGTGAGTGAGCGAGTGAGTCTGTGCGTGAGTCTGTGAGTGTGTGAGTGAGTGAGTCTGTGCGTGAGTCTGTCTGTGAGTGTGTGAGCGAGTGAGTCTGTGCGTGAGTCTGTCTGTGAGTGTGTGAGTGAGCGAGCGAGCGAGTGAGTCTGTAAGTGTGTGAGTGAGTGAGCGAGCGAGTGAGCGAGTGAGTCTGTGCGTGAGTCTGTCTGTGAGTGTGTGAGTGAGTGAGCGAGTGAGTCTGTGCGTGAGTCTGTCTGTGAGTGTGTGGGTGAGTGAGTGAGTGAGCGAGCGAGCGAGTGAGTGAGTCTGTGCGTGAGTCTGTAAGTGTGTGTGTGAGTAAGTGAGTGAGCGAGCGAGCGAGTGAGTGAGTCTGTGCGTGAGTCTGTCTGTGAGTGAGTGAGTGAGCGAGTGAGCGAGTGAGTCTGTGCGTGAGTCTGTCTGTGAGTGTGTGAGTGAGTGAGCGAGCGAGCGAGTGAGTGAGTGAGTGAGCGAGTGAGTGAGTCTGTGAGTGAGTCTGTCTGTGAGTCTGTAAGTGTGTGAGTGAGTGAGCGAGTGAGTGAGTGAGTGAGCGAGCGAGCGAGTGAGTCTGTGAGTGAGTCTGTAAGTGTGTGAGTGAGTGAGCGAGCGAGTGAGCGAGTGAGTCTGTGCGTGAGTCTGTCTGTGAGTGTGTGAGTGAGTGAGCGAGCGAGCGAGTGAGTCTGTCTGTGAGTGTGTGAGCGAGTGAGCGAGTGAGCGAGTGAGTCTGTGCGTGAGTCTGTCTGTGAGTGTGTGAGTGAGTGAGTGAGCGAGCGAGCGAGTGAGTCTGTGCGTGAGTCTGTAAGTGTGTGAGTGAGTGAGCGAGCGAGTCTGTGTGTGAGTGAGTGAGCGAGCGAGTGAGTCTGTGCGGGGCCCCGTGGAAGAGAGGCCAAAGCAGTTCCACGAAACGCAACTCCTTTCTGGCGCGAGGCCGCGGCCATCCATCATCACCGGCCACGGCCTTTGAAGCGCGCAAAGGAATTAATATCGCCGGAGAGGGAGGAGGAGGAGGATGGTGGAGGAGGAGAGGAAGGAGGAAGAGGGAGGCTGTGTGGGTGTAGAACAGGGAGGACTCATTATGGCGCGCCTCTAAACGGGGGGGCGAGGGGGGGGGCGAGGGGGGGGCAAGGGGGGGGGGGGGCGGGAGGGGGAGGGGGGCGTCAGCAGAGTTCAACATCTGCGCCAGAAAAATTACGGGAATTTTTGCGTCGTGAATTAATTTATATTTTCTTTAAATGCGAAAATAATTGCGCGATAATTAATTTCGTGAGGTAAACATCAAAACGGCGGAGGGCGGGGGGAGGGCAAACCCTCGCTGGCACGCAGAAGGTGGCGCTTGTGGACTCGCGTTACGGCGCCGCGTGCCCCCCCCCCCCCCCGTGCCGGCCACAACGAGCGCTCTCAGCGAGCTGCCCCCCACACTGTGTGTGTGTGTACACCGTGTGTGTGTTCATTGTGTGTGTGTTTGTGTGTTCACCGTGTGTGTGTGTTCACCGTGTGTCAGTGGTGTCACGGGCGTCACCACTTGTGGTGCTACCACATTGCCGCCCCATATAAAACTAAACAACAACAACGACAAGAACAATGTTGTCGTCGTCCATTTTTGTTTTTGCCATGAAGTCTTCGGCCCTTCGTGAGCAGCTTTTGTCGGTCGACCCACCGGCACTTCTAGATAATGTCCCAGCGGAAGTGACGATCTGGTCGGGTGGCGGAGGGCAAGTGACACGAATTTTGCCATTTAAACAACAACCTCTGCACGTGGCCTAACCCCAACTGCGGAGTTGAAAATTCATTTCTGTAGAGCTGCTTTTTGTTTTTAGTTTGTTGTCTTTCCCCCGCACCTCTCATTAGCACGGTTGGCTACGTACGGTGCGAAAGAAGTTCAACATAATGCGACGTACATACACACGTGCAGAAACAGACATGGCTGACCTTGCAGTGTGCTCGCTACGAATCCCTCGCGAGATCCACAAACTCTGAGCCCCCCCCCCCCCGCCCCCCCGGTCATTTATGCCGAGCAGAGATCGTGGACGGGAACGTGAAGATGACCCTCGGGATGATCTGGACGATCATCCTGAGATTTGCTATCCAGGACATCTCCGTTGAAGGTACGAGGGGAGGCACTGAGAGACACTGGGAGACACGGGGAGGAACTGGGAGACACGGGGAGACACGGGCAGGCACTGGGAGACACGGGGGAGACACGGGGTGACATGGGGAGACACTGGGGCATGGGGGTGTGACAGTGATAATGATGGTGATGTTGGTGATGGCAGTAATGGTGATGTTGGTGATGATGATGGTGACCGTAATGGTGATGGTGATGATTGTGATCGTGATGGTGATTATATTGATGATGGTAATGATGTTGACGATGATGGTGAAGATTGATGATGATTATGAAGGTTAAAGGTGATGGTTGATGGTGGTAATGGTGAGGATGGTGATGATTATGGTGAAGGCTGATGGTGGTAATGGTAATGATGGCGATGTGATGATGGTGGTGTGATGGTTCGTGCAGAGACGTCGGCGAAGGAGGGGCTGCTGCTGTGGTGCCAGCGCAAGACGGCGCCCTACAAGAACGTGAACGTGCAGAACTTCCACCTGAGGTCCGTCGCCCACTCACCCGCACGCCCTCTCTCCAACCCACCCTCTCCATTACTCGCCCACTCACGCACTCACTCGCTCACTCACCCAACCACTCACTCACCTTGTCACTCGGCCACTCACTCACTGGTGATGATGTTGGTGGTGATGACGGTGATGGTGATGGTGACGGTGGTGGTGACGGTGGTGGTGGTGACGGTGGTGGTGGTGACGGTGGTGGTGACGATGGTGGTGATGGCGGTGGTGATGGTGGTGATCGTGACGGTGGTGGTGTTTGTCTCTGTCTCTCTGTCCGCGTGGCGCTCAGCTGGAAGGACGGCCTCGCATTCTGTGCCCTTATCCATCGGCATCGCCCTGAGCTCATCGACTTCGCCAAGCTCAGAAAGGTAGCGCGGTCGCGGGTCTCCGCTCGCGTGTCTCCTCGTGTCTCCGCTAACGTGTCTCCTCGTGTCTCCGCTAACGTGTCTCCTCGTGTCTCCGCTAACGTGTCTCCGGTAGCGTGTCTCCTCGTGTCTCCGCTAGCGTGTCTCCGCTAACGTGTCTCCTCGTGTCTCCACTTGCGTGTCTCCGCTAGCGTGTCTCCACTCGCGTGTCTCCGCTCGCGTGTCTCCTCTAGCGTGTCTCCTCGTGTCTCCGCTAGCGTGTCTCCACTCGTGTGTCCGTGTGTGTGTTTGCATCTCCCCGTGGTCACGTGGATTTTCCTCCGGGTCCTCCGGTTTTTCCCTCCACGTTTAGACTCGACATCGCGAACGCGTTCCGAGTGTTTGGCTGCTGCGATGACTTTCCACGCGGCGATGATGCTCAGCCACTTGGTTGAGCTACACACCTCGGTGGGGCCTCGCCTGGTCAAACAACAAATGTCGAGTTGTAGTTGACGGGTGCTCGGCTAACAGCACTCGCCTCCCAACCAGCCCGCGAGGACTCCGCGGGAGGGGGACGTTGTCTGCGCGAGCGTTCCCTGCCGCCGAGCGTGACCGCGGCGCCGCGCTCGCGTCGTCGTACGGTGCGACCCGATGGGCGGTGTGCGAGCGTGGGGTGGTGCGGCGTAGACACCGAGGCTCCCCCTTGTCGTGCCGGCTCGTCCCGGCTCGTCCCGGCTGGCTTGTCCGGCTCTCCCGTCTCCTGCGGGCTCCGCTCCGTCCGGTGATCGTCGGCACGATCCCCGTGCCCCCTCCCCCCCTCTTCTCGTTTTCTCGTCGGGAGGAAATTGCGGTTAAGTGGCCGGTGGGCCCTGATTATGTGAAAATGGTTGCCTTGTGAAACAACAGCACCACCCCTCACCCCTCCCCCCACCCCCCGCCCCACTGCCAACCCCCCACTCTAGGGACCCCCACAACCACATTCAGACTCCAGCCTCACGCCACCCCCCCCTCCACACAGCCGACGTCTCAATTAACGAGGGGTTTGCGATCATGAATGGGTTCAAATCAATTAGGGGGAGGTCGTCACGGTGCTGGGACAGGGGTCAGGGGTCGGGGCCACTCCCCCTGCAGGCCTGGGTTGCAACCCGGGTGTCAGCCTCATAGAGACACACAGAGACCCACAGACTCGCATAGAGACCCACACACACACAGAGACCCACAGACTCGCATAGACACACACAGACTCGCATAGAGACCCACAGACTCACACAGAGACCCACAGACTCGCATAGACTCACACAGACTCGCATAGAGACCCAAACATGCACAGACCCACAGACTCACAGACTCGCACAGAGACCCACAGACTCACGTAGACACACACAGAGACCCACAGACTCGCATAGAGACCAACAGACTCACAGACCCACAGACTCGCACAGAGACCCACAGACTCACGTAGAGACCCACAGCCTCACACAGAGACCCACAGATTCACATAGAGACCCACAGACTCACATAGAGACCCACAGAATCACATAGAGACCCACAGACGCACGCACAGACCCACAGACTCACAAAGAGACCGACAGACTCAGACCCACAGACTCGCACAGAGACCCACAGACTCACGTAGAGACCCACAGACTCACACAGAGACCCACAAATTCACATAGAGACCCACAGACTCACATAGAGACCCATATACTCACATAGAGACCCACAGACTCGCATAGAAACCCACATACTCACATAGAGACGCACAGACTCGCATAGAGACCCACAGACTCGCATAGAGACACACAGACTCACATAGAGAACCAAAGTTGGGCGAGGCTTGCAGGGGATGACGATGTGGGGAGTGATGTGGTGAGCGGTGTGGTGAGTGGTGTGGTGAGTGATGTGGTGAGTGGTGTGGTGAGCGATGTGGTGAGCGGTGTGGTGAGCGGTGTGGTGAGCGGTGTGGTGAGCGACGTGGTGAGTGACGTGGTGAATGATGGTGGTGAGTGGAGTGGTGAGTGACGTGGTGAGTGACGTGGTGAGTGAAGTGGTGAGTGACGTGGTGAGTGACGTGGTGAGTGACGTGGTGAGCGGTGTGCCAAGAGGCAGTGTGGCTGCGGGTGACGGTGCAAGCGGAGGTAGCAACTTCCTCTCCTCCTCCTCGTCGTTTATCACCAACATATTTTTCACCCCCCCCCCTCCCCCGGTCCAAGTTCCTCCGAAACTTTAGTAATGACTGTAATTCCTCTAAAGACGTGCGTAGTTTTAGGATAACATTAAATAACATTTAAAATGTCACTTTTGGTCTTGAGACTCTGTGAGCATTTCCTCACTAATACATATGCAGGTTTTAAAATTATCAGATTTTATTATAATGCCACGGTAAATCATTTCGACAGTCATCGTAACGTTTCATTATGGTGGTGGTGACGATGTTGTTACTAACATCATTATCATCACCAGCTTCACAGCACAGCACTTTAACCACTACACTACCACTCACCACATCGACACACAAAATACAAAGATCCCCCGTGTAGCCTTAACAGACTGTAGGGGCAAGTGCTGTAAGCGAGCACCTATGAAGGCCGGCGCGGCACACGAGGGGGTTGGTGGCCAGCACCACCCCCGGCCGCCTTTGTCTCCCCAGTGCTGACATTCACACATCACATCATGTACTTATTTAAGGCTTAGTCGACCTAGGGGAGGTCCCAAACCAGATATTCGTCACCGATTTTGGCCGCGAGTAGGAATCAAACTTAGGTCGCAAGGTTCGTAGCGCAGTGCCCAAGCCACTGTCACCGTTCCCACATGGATACCCACACACCAGCAGCAGCAGTTGGCACTCGCCACGAAGTGGTGGTGACGTCACCACTAAGCGCTTGTGCCAGGCCCAGGTGCACTTTGATGCTGTGTCAGGAGGTCACTGGACAGACGCAGGTGCCATGGGTTCATTTGTCGACTGACTGAGATGAGTGGCCGATGCACCACCTGTGCCCCCTACTGTGCCAACTTCCTGTGTTTTATCCGCCCGGCGCTCCGCTCGTTGTTGTGAGCGTCGCCGCTCAGCCCTCCGCTGTGTTGCTGGAGGGCGACAGCCTCCAACTGCCCAGCAGCAGAGTCCTTCACGAGCCTCCTCCACAGACACACGCGCATGCACACGTGGGACGGGAGCAGTGCAGACATTGCTCGCCACTGGCCGGGAGTCGAACTCGGGTCTGTGGGGTCGGGGGCCGCGCCGTGTGGGCACCGCACGCACCTGCGGGTGATTTCCTGCCCCCCCCACCGGCACGTTCCGCGTGGCGTGCGTCACCACGCCAGCCGCCCCCCCCACCTCACCTGCGGGGTCGCACCACCTACACGGTCGCCCCCCCACCCACCCCCCACTCGTTAATTCCCCCCCCCGCCCCTCCAAAACAAACAAGGGGTGGTGGTGGGGGTGGTGGTGGTGGCGGTGGTGGTGGTGGTGGTGGTGGGAGTGGTGGTGGTGGTGGTGGCGGCGGTGGGGGTGGTGGCGGTGGTGGGGGTGGTGGTGGTGGTGGTGCCGGCGACGCACGGCCGACCCAACCCGGACGAATTCCTCACTGGGCGCTGGGCCGTCCGTCAGCAACGTGGTGCAGGATCCTGCGGTGAAGTTGAGCACAGCGACACCGCTGCTGCCTCACCGCGGCACCCATCACTTCCTGCCACACTCACAGAACACGGACCCCAAATCCCGGGCTGTGCCACGTCAAAGCGGGCTGGTCGGAACCCGAGGGGGAGAGAGAGAGATGGTGGCGGTCCGAGAGAGAATGACGATGATTTTACCCTCCCGCCTTTACCCTCCCATCCCCCTCCCACCCCCCTCGCAGGATGACCCCATGACGAACCTGAACACGGCGTTTGAGGTCGCCGACAAGTACCTGGACATTCCCAAGATGCTGGACGCTGAGGGTACGGCACAGCCTCTGTCACCTGACTCGCACCTCTCACCTGTCTCACACCTCTTACCTGACTCACATCTCTCACCTGACTCACACCCCTCTCACCTGTCTCACACCTCTCACCTGTCTCACACCTCTCACCTGTCTCACACCTCTCTCACCTGTCTCACACCTCTCACCTCTCACCTCTCTCACCTGTCTTACACCTCTCACCTGTCTCACACCTCTCACCTGTCTCACACCTCTCACACCTCTCTCAACTCTCTCACCTGACTCACACCCCTCACACCGCTCTCACCTGTCTCACACCTCTCACCTAACTCACACCTCTCTCACCTCTCTCACCTGTCTCACCTGTCTCACACCTCTCACCTGACTCACACCTCTCTCACCTGACTCACACCTCTCTCACCTGTCTCACCTGTCTCACACCTCTCACCTGTCTCACACCTCTCACCTGACTCACACCTCTCACCTCTCTCACCTCTCGCCTCTCTCACCTGTCTCACTTGTCGTCTCACCTGTGGCCGTCTGACCAAGAGCCGGGTGCGACGCCGACGGGAGCCACGCGTCCGCCCCCCGAGAGCGGCGTCCGTTCTGCCGCTCCCCACTCGGTGCGCTCCCCACTAACCGTTCTCCCGGCAGCACCGACGAGGAAGAGGGCGGCGGGGCGAGGAGGAGTTGGGGTCTGGGGGGGTCTCTTGCGAGCGTCGCTTCTCTCTCCCCTCGGTGCCCTGTGCACCGCTGCAGCCTTCACACCCTCGTGCCTGCTTCTGCTATCCGACAATTATAATAACAGCAACAATAATGACAACAACAACAGTAACAACAACAATAAGCACAACGATAACAATATCAACAACAACGATAACAACAATAACAACAATAACGATAACAACAACGTCGTCGTTTGTTTACACAGGGAGGCGTCGCCGAGTCTCTAGGCTCCTTCGCAGGAGGAGGCTTGCCGCTCGACGTTGTTTGGGCGACTCCGTGTTGATCACTCGTGACATTTCTTTCCCTTCCCCCAAGGGCGCAAGGTGGTCTCAACCCGCCCGGTGCATCGGCGGAGAATCGCGATTCCCTTCTTTTGTGTCTGCACCCGTTCGCTCCATAACGCCCACACTAATACGCGTACATCACTTGAACGTACAACAATAATAATAGTAATGTTGATAATCACGGCCTAACGCGTAGGCTTTCGCAGGCAATGTTATTACCATTCTCAATTGAATTTCGGATCGGCCCACGGAGCAATCCGTCCGCTTCTGCGTCGTCAGGAACGCTGCTGGGCCGGGTGGTGGAGGGTCTGCACGACACAGATCCCGTCTCGGGTCGCCACGTGGCTCGACCCAATTATCAGTCGCGAATAATAATTATTATCATTGCAGCCCTGTTTATCAATCCACTGCTGGATAACGGCCTCTCAGAGGCATGGACCTCAGAGGCATGGCCATGCTTCACCACGCTGGGCCAGTGCGGGTTTGGTGAAAGGGGAGAGACCTAAATGGCCAACTGGTGTGCCTGGCGGTCGCCCATCCAAAGCGCTCTCCAGGCCCAATACCTGCTTAGCTTTCGGAGGTCTGACAAGACCACCAGGACGCTCTCGCCGCCGATGTTCACCATGACGGGGAATCAAACTTGGGGCCGCCGGGTTTGCAGAGCGCTAACCACTGCACTACTCAGCCCCCTGCCCGTGCACGAATCATGATCACTCATCTAGCGGTGGATTGACAAAGGCGCGTGCGTTTGTGTGCACTTATTCATAGAATTGTGTACGCGTGTGTGTGTGTGTGCGCCGTGATGTGTGCATGTGTAATTTGTTCATCTGCGCGTGGGTATTCGTGTGTCGCTCGAGCGCTGAGCTCGGCACGATTCTCGCTCGATCGCTCGCTCGTCCGTCCGTTGTTGCCACCGTCATCATCGTCGCCGTGAGAGAGGGGGAGGGGAGGGGGGCGGCGGCGATGATGGGAGACCGCTCTGAGTTAAAACACGAAACGCAACAATCATAAAAAAACGTCTCTTCCCTTGTAGCGAAATAAACAAGGAAGTTGAGTGCTATTTTATGTGCGCCTCTCATGAGGCTTTACTCAAACCGATGCTGGTGAACTGCCCAGATGTGAACCCTTCCCCGTTCCGAGACATCTGCAAGTTGCAGGGTGGTGGTGTCCCGTTCGCCGCCGAATCCCGGAACGCGCGAGCGGGTTCGGCGTTAATTGTATTTAGAGAGGCGTCGTAGCGCCGTGGTTTTTAAAGACGTCGTTACTCACCGCAGAGAACCGTAGCGACACGACCACCGCACTCTGTGATGGCTGACGCCAAACTGTGCCCCACGCCCTCCCGCATGGCCTTGTGGGAGCCTCGGGAGCAATAGCAGTTATTTATTTATTTAAGTTTTTATTCCAAACCCGTTCCGATGACGTACGCTCACGTCATCGGAACGGGAAAGGGTTTTAAGAGGCAAGGATCGGCGGTTTAAATGGATCCAACCGCGGTCAATCGTCGGGTTAGCGGCACCCGGTGGGGAGAAGTGTGGGTACTCTCGCCTCTGAAAGACACGCTGGCCAGCGTGGAAGAGCAGGCCAACCATTCTCTCTGAAAGTGCTCTCTGGAGCGGAGACCGTCCCGCCGGCGGTGACGCGAGCGGGCACTTGCGGGCGCTGCGCCTTTCCCCGAGCGTTGTTGACGGTTTGCGCGCCGGCTCGACAGGCGCTCGCTAACGCGGCGCTGTTGCTTGGGCCGAGCGTAGACATCGTAAACACGGCCCGCCCGGACGAGAAGGCCATCATGACCTACGTCTCCTGCTTCTACCACGCATTCTCGGGCGCCCTCAAGGTACACGGGGGCCCCAGAGGCCCGCCCCGGCCGGTTCGTCGCGACCTCGTCGTAACCTCGTCGTGACCCCTCGTTTCTTATTTGCACCGCGCGCGCAGCCGCCAGCGAGCCGTGCCGCGCGACGGTCGCTTGAGCGGACGGGGCGACCAATGGGCGAACCCCGGCGGACGGTCGCACGCACGCCCCGGCGGCGCCTCGCCCTAACTCGCACGTCTCCCTGCGCACGGCGGCGGCCCACCACCCCCCCCCCCTTCTCTCTTAACAGCGCTCGGTCGGCCGGACCACCGAGATATCTCTCCGGCAGCACCGCCCGGCCCCCACCCCCGCCCCTAACTCGCACGACGATGACCCCCCCCCGCCCCCCCCCCCCTCTCTTGTGCAAGAAGCTTCCGACGGTCGCCTGAGCGTCGTAGAAACTCTGTGAATGCGGCTGACATGTGCGACCGCCCCTCCTCCCTTCGCCCCCCCCCTCCGCACGCCACGTCCTTGCACCCCCCCCACCTCCTCACCCCCCCCCCCACACCTCCTCACCCCCCCCCCCACACCTCCTCACCCCCCTCCACACCTCCTCGTGTCTTCTGCCGCCCGCCGCGCTCCGTGGCGGCGTGGGGGAGCAGACATAGTGGGCACGGTAAAGCCGGACGAGAAGGCCATCATGACCTACGTCTCGTGCTACTACCACGCCTTCTCGGGGGCGCAGAAGGTAACCGTCGCCGTGGCAACGCCGCAGCAACATCCGAGCGGGGGTGTAGGGAGGGGGGCTGGGAGGGGGGGCTGGGAGGGGGGGTTCCTCACGACCTGAACGAGACTCCAGATTCTGGGCTGTGGTGATATCGACGACGACGATGATGATGAGAGTGATGACGATGATGATGATGATGAGAGTGATGACGACGATGATGATGATGAGAGTGATGATGATGATGAGAGTGATGACGACGACGATGATGATGATGAGAGCCATGATGATGATGAAAGTGATGATGATGAGAGTGATGACGACGACGATGATGATGATGAGAGCCACGATGACGATGATGAGAGCGATGATGACGATAGTATTGATGACGACAGTGACGAGTAAAAGTTTTTGGGCACAAAAAGAATCTGCAGAGGCGTCGCGGAGTAAACGAGGCGAAGGGCCGAGGAGCAGGAGAGACGCGACGAATGTTTTCAGCTTCGCCTCAGACGCACCGCTTGCCACGACTGGGACGCAGTGGCAATTCTGATGAGGGCGAGACCGCTGACAGTGATGATGATTGTTGATGATAGTCATGGATTGAGTGACACGGATATTGGATAATTGACAAGAAAAGTACGATGGACTGCTCCCCCCTAGTACTGGGATAGAGAGGGAGGGAGGGAGAGAGACGGGGGGAGCTATTGTGGAGAAACCTCCAGACATAGTTCATCTGCCGGGCCCTTTCTAGCGGTGCCGCCTGCCCAGGTGCACTGGAGGAATCCGATGAGCTATAAAGCTCCTGTTCACAGATGTCGTCGCTTGTGTCAATAATCACAACGCACCACTCGGCACAGTCTGTCCCCCTATAACGCGGCGGTAGTTGCGTTCCTGAAGAACACCGCATTAGGGGAAAATCACGTCATAATAAATAATACATAATATAGGGGGTAAAGCGCAGTCCGTGATAACACGTGAGATGCGTACGCAGGCCGAATAAACACCGAGACGCGTGGGTAGCGTCTAGAAGTATCCAGCAGCATCCCACTGCCTCGTGCGATGCTAAGCCGAGGCTGCCGTACGACCGCTGATTCCTACTCGCGCTGCGACGTAGTTCCGTTCACTTGATCGCGTTATAACCAATTCGCATCCGCTTTGTAAAAATGTGTTCCCTCACACATTCATCGTGTTATACTCAATTCGCATCATGGAAACACGCAGCGTTAGAAGAGAGCAGACTGTTGACTTAAGATTATTTATCCCATGATACGTCCGAGTTGTATCGTACTTCAGAGGTTGCGAATCTTATCAGCCCTTCCCTGCCATTATACCGTGACAAATCGAATGGCATGCGATTGTCAGCATGGCACGAGATTTCTAATGAAGTGAGGCCTACACTGGCTTGGCCTGAGCTAGGCTAGGCCTAGCTGCCCCCCCATGCACCCTTCCCATTGGCTGAGACGTGTCATGTGACAGGCGGAGACGGCGGCCAACCGGATCTGCAAGGTGCTGGCGGTGAACCAGGAGAATGAGAACCTCATGGAGGACTACGAGAAGCTCGCCAGCGACGTGAGTCCACCTGTGTGTCTCTGTGTGTCGGTGTGGGTCGCGGAAGTGTAGCGGTTAGCGACGTGAGTCCACCTGTGTGTCTCTGCGTGTCGGTGTGGGTTGCGGGAGTGTAGCGGTTAGCGACGTGACTCTGTCTGTGTGTCTCTGTGTGTGTCTGTGTGGGTCGCGGGAGTGTAGCGGTTAGCGACGTGAGTCCACCTGTGTGTCTCTGCGTGTCTGTGTGGGTCGCGGGAGTGTAGCGGTTAGCGACGTGAGTCCACCTGTGTGTCTCTGCGTGTGTCTGTGTGGGTCGCGGGAGTGTAGCGGTTAGCGACGTGAGTTCGTCTGTGTGCGTCCCTCTCTGCGTGTCTGTGTGGGTCGCGGGAGTGTAGCGGTTACTGTACTCGACCTGCTCGCCGCTCGTCACCGATAAGGACGGCGGAAACGACGACGATGATGTTGACGACGGTGATGACGTTGATGACGGTGATGACGTTCACGACGGTGACGATAACGATAGTGGTGCCGTCCGTCATCCTCCACACAAAGAGTAGATCGTGGCTACTCTCCTGCGATTTAAAATAATAACGGATGAAATTTCAATTGACGGTGGGCACTTGCTGAAGCCCGGAGCGCTTTGCATCAAATCTCAGCGGCGCGCAGAGGTTGGCGGCTCGAATCACAGCGGCCGCCCCAGTCAGCGGCGTGTTAGCCGTGGCGATGCGGCGCAGTTCCTGCCCGCCGCCCGCCTCGCTGGACCCCGCGGCGGCGTTCGAGGGAGAGTCGTTGAAGGCCCTGCCACGTGCGCCGGCGTCGCGGCGCGAGTTTGAAACGCTTCCACCGCGAATGAATCGGTTAGAAAAGTGTCTCGTGGGATATCATTGCCCCCTGCTGTGCAAACAGGGTAAGTAACAACAAGCGCAACAATCATGAACCTGTTATAATAATAGCGACCTCAAGCATCAGAACGGCTCCCCCTAGCGGCAGCTGCCCCTGCGTGTGACTCGACACCGGCCTGCGAATGGGCGCTGCTTGCTCGGTGATTGCGACGACAGATGCCGCCGCTGCTACTACTGCTCCTGCTGCTGCTCCTGCTGCTGCTGCTGCCGCTGCTGCTGCGCGGAATCCCAACGGAGTAACTTGGTGACGATCGCGACGACGATGATCACGTATGACAACGATGATGACGGCAACGATGATGACGAAGAGGATGATGATGATGACGACGAGGATGATGACGACGACGACGGTGATGAGGATGACGACGACGATGAAGACAACAACGACGACGATATTGACGATGTCGACCACGACGATGACGACGATGACGACGATGTCTCTGTGCGCGGCGCAGCTGCTGGAGTGGATCGAGGCGACGATCCCGGGCCTGGAGGACCGCTCGCTGCAGAACACGATGCAGGCGATGCAGGCGAGGCTGGAGGACTTCCGCGACTACCGGCGGGCGAGGAAGCCGCCGCGCTCCGAGGAGAAGTGCCACCTGGAGATCAGCTTCAACACGCTGCAGACCAAGCTGCGCCTCATGAACCGCCCCGCCTTCATGCCCTCCGAGGGCAAGATGGTGTCGGTGAGGGCGCACGCACACACGCACACACACGTACGGACACACGCACACACGCGTACGCACACACGCATACGCACACGCGTACGCACACACGCGCGCACGCACACACACGCGTACGCACACACGCGTACGCACACAGTCACCCGTGACTAATTTTAATATTGTTATTTGACCAGGGAAGGCCCACTGAGCTATGTAGTAACTCTTTTTAAGCAGCAATCTGGCTGTCACAAATGATAGCTCATTGTCATCGTCATCACTCTCATCGTTGTCGTCATGACTCTCATCATCATCATTGTGTGGAAATGTATAGCAGCTAAATGCTTAAAATGCATGATGTTGAATCTAAATGTGGAGGGAAAAACTGGAGGGCCCGGAGAAAATCCACGCGACCACAGGAGAGAGAGAGAGAGAGACACTCAAACTCCACATGTACAGCAGCAGGCGTCGTCAAGGTCGGGATCGACCCCACGACCTCCTGTGTACCAGGCGAGGGAGTTAACATCTCCTAGCCACCGTGACGCCCCGATGTGGCGATTCCTGCTCACGGCCAACACCGGTGATGATTATCTAAAGTGGTCGCCGGGCCTCCTCTAGGTCGACTGAGCCGCAAATGAGCACCTGATGCCGTGCGCAAAGATCACCATTGGGGAGACAAAGGCGGCCACCCACCCCCCCTCATGTGCCGTGAAGGCTACATGGGGGATCTTTGTCTCTGTTTAGCTCACGAGCATCCGTGAAGCAGAATCTACACGGGGGGGGGGGGTGGGGGTACGCACGTACGTCGAACTTCTTTCGCACCGTACGTAGCTAGCCACGGCTAACGGGAGGTGCGGGGAAAGGAGAGCGAGCGACGATCCGCGTGTCCGTGCGGCGTGCAGGACATCGCCAACGCGTGGTCGCGCCTGGAGCAGGCCGAGAAGGGCTACGAGGAGTGGCTCCTCAACGAGATCCGCCGCCTCGAGCGGCTCGACCACCTTGCCGAGAAGTTCCGACAGAAGTGTGACATCCACGAGGCGTGGGGCTCAGGTCTCTCTCTCTTCTCAGCACCTCCCACAGACTCAGCACAGCACCATAGACTCAGCACTGCCCACAGACTCAGCACAGCACCATAGACTCAGCACTGCCCACAGACTCAGCACTGTCATAGACTCACATTGCCCATAGACTCAGCACTGCCCATAGACTAACACTACCCATAGACTCAACACTGCCCATAGACTCAACACTGCCCATAGATTAACACTACCCATAGACTCAGCACTGCCCATAGACTCAACACTGCCCATAGACTCAACACTGCCCATAGACTCAACACTGCCCATAGACTCAACACTGCCCATAGACTCAACACTGCCCATAGACTCAGCACTGCCCACAGACTCAGCACTGCCCACAGACTCAGCACTGCCCATAGACTCAGCACTGCCCATAGACTCAACACTGCCCATAGACTCAGCACTGCCCATAGACTCAACACTACCCATAGACTCAACACTACCCATAGACTCAGCACTGCCCACAGACTCAACACTGCCCATAGACTCAACACTACCCACAGACTCAGCACTGCCCATAGACTCAACACTGCCCATAGACTCAGCACTGCCCATAGACTCAACACTGCCCATAGACTCAGCACTGCCCATAGACTCAACACTACCCATAGACTCAGCACTGCCCACAGACTCAACACTGCCCATAGACTCAACACTACCCATAGACTCAGCACTGCCCACAGACTCAGCACTGCCCATAGACTCAACACTGCCCATAGACTCAGCACTGCCCCATAGACTCAACACTGCCCCTATACATGAAGCAGTCCCCCTCCTTAACCTCCTTTAATTCCTCTCTTAAAGCCTCACCACCTCTTCTCCATCACCCATTCTCTTCCTCCCTCCCCTCACCCTTCCACTCCTCCCCGTCCCTCCCCTACCCCGTCGGTGATGCCCTCGTGTACCCCTCCCTCGGTAGTGGCCACTCACTCCTCAATCCTTGCTATGCCCCTGCCGTCAAAGTCATTCTATCCCGTCGCCGCTTTGTCAACCATCTCAAGCGTCTTGAGTGAATGCGCTCTCTGTAAATATGAATTAGATCTTTGTCGTTGTGCGTGTGTGCGTGCGTGGCGTGCGTGTGTGCGTGCATGTGTGCGTGTGTGCGTGCGTGTGTGTGCGCCAGGCAAGGAGGAGACCCTGCAGGAGGAGGTGGTGCCGGGCGTTGCCTCGCTGACCGAGCTCAAGGCGCTGCTCCGCAAGCACGAGGCCTTTGAGAGCGACCTGGCCGCCCACCAGGACCGCGTCGAGCAGATCGCCGCCATCGCACAGGAGCTCAAGTACGACGCTTCATTGTGACCGTGTCGTTGTTACGTTGGTCTGCCCAGGCAGCCTCGCTCAGCCTCGAGACTCTCTCCAAGAGAGTCCTGCCTACTCTGCCCAGCAGGGCGCGATGTTGCTTTACGCGTATTTCCAATTGAGTCATTTATCGGTAATTTTTAAGTATTGGGATGTTTGGCCAAGACCAATTACATTGTTCGTGCTTTTAGTCATGGCAAACCTGTACGGAACCTATCGGCAGAACATACAAATTACCCACAGAAAGACACTCGAGCCAGGAATCGAACCCATCCGCTGCTTGCTGTGAGGCACGCGTGGCACCACTGCACTGACACCCTGCCATCCTGTCTCACCCCCACCCCAATCTCACCCCCACCCACCCCACCAACCCCACCCCGCCCCACCCCGCCCCACCGCACCCCCACCCCAATCTCACCCCCACCCACCCCGCCCCACCCCACCCCGCCCCACCGTACCCCACAACTCACCCCACCAACCCCACCCCACCCCGCCACCCCACACACCCCACCCACCCCACACACCCCACCCCACCCACCCCACCCCGCCCCGCCCGTGCCGTGTGCTGCCCGCAGCGAGCTGGACTACCACGACGTGGAGAGTGTGAACGGGCGCTGCCAGGCGATCTGCGAGCAGTGGGACCGGCTCGGCGCACTCACGCAGACGCGCAGAGAAGCCCTGGAGGTGCAGCCCGTGCACACGTGTGTGTGTGTACACGTGTGTGTGTGTACACGTGTGTGTGTGTACACGTGTGTGTGTGTACACGTGTGTGTGTGCACACGTGTGTGTGTACACGTGTATGTGTGTACACCTTGGGGAGCGGTAGTGTAGCGGTTAGCGCGCTGCGCTATGAATTTAGCGACCTGAGTTTGATTCCCGCTCACGGCCAACACCAGTGACGATTATCTGAACCGGTCCTGGGCCTGCCCTAGGTCGACTCAGCCTCAATTGAGTACCTGGTGCTGCTTAGCGTTCCTATACTTGGACGGACGTCCAAGTAACAAAAAACTCAGCTCCACGACTAAATCAACATCCTGATTCTGATTCCCAGTCTAAATCAACCCGATTCTGATTCCGGCTGCGATGCGTAGAAGCGTGAGAAGCTGCTGGAGACCATTGACCAGCTACACCTGGAGTTTGCCAAGCGCGCTGCCCCCTTCAACAACTGGATGGAGGGCGCCATGGAGGACTTGCAGGACATGTTCATCGTGCACACCACCGACGAGATACAGGCACGTGTCCCCCCCCCTCACCACCCACGTGATTCAGTCACGTGGCCCCGCTCACCACCCACGTGATACAGTCACGTGACCCCCTCCACTCACCACCCACATGATACAGTCACGTGACCCCCCCCCCCTCACCACCCACATGATACAGTCACGTGACCCCCCCCCTCACCACCCACGTGATACAGTCACGTGACCCCCCCCCCTCACCACCCACGTGATGCAGTCACGTGGCCCCGCTCGCGACCCGTGGGGACACGTGCCCTCTACAACCATCACTATAAAATATTTTCTATTCCACCAGGTGAGGTCCCCACTGAGCTATCCAGTCTCTGTTCTCCTGTAACGCCGCGTTTTCATCGCGTGAATTGGATACAACGCGATAAATTATGGAACCCATCATGGGGGATCCCCTTTGCCAGTACCAAAATATGATGATAGGTTTTCCCCTTTTTTCTGGCAACAAAACAGCTGTTAAGATGTTAAAACACACCACAGACAGCTTTCTCGTGAGCCTCGTCTCAAACGGTGTCAAACCAGAGGACGCACGGCCGGTCGAGCGGCCGGTCGAGCGGCCGGTCGAGCGGCCGGTCGAGCGGCCGGTCGAGCGGCCGGTCGAGCGGCCGGTCGAGCGGCCGGTCGAGCGGCCGGTCGAGCGGCCGGTCGAGCGGCCGGTCGACCGGCCGGTCGAGCGGCCGGTCGAGCGGCCGCCCTGCCGATGCTCACGATGGCCCGCCGGGCGGCGGTGGCGTCGCTCGATCCAGGGCCTCATCACGGCGCACGAGCAGTTCAAGGCGACGCTGCCCGAGGCGGAGAAGGAGAAGCTGGCCATCGTGGGCGTGCACGCCGAGCGCGAGAAGATCGCTGGCACCTACCACGTGGAGGAGCCCGCGGGGGGCTCCAACCCCTACACGACCATCACCACCGGGGACGTCACCGCCAAGTGGGAGCGGGTGCGTGTGTGTGTCTTTGCGTGTCTCTGTGCGTGCGTGTGTCTTTGCGTGTCTCTGTGCGTGTCTCTGTACGGAGAGCGGTAGTGTCGCGGTGAGCGTGCTGCGCTCGGAGCCCAACGACGGAGTTCGATTCCCGCTCACGGCCAACACCGGTGACGATTATCTGAACCGGTCCTGGGCCTTTCCTAGGTCGAAACGGCTTCAAATGAGTACCCGGCGCGGTGTGTAAACATTGCTACCGGGGAGACAAAGGTGGTCGAGCGTGGTGCTGGCCACCCGACCCCTCGTGTGCCACACTGGCCTTCGTAGGCCCTACACCGCCTAACAGCACTTGTCCCGACAGTCTGTGAAGGCTACACGGGGGATCTTTGTTGTTTGTGTTGTAGCTGAAGGGCCTGGTGCCTCAGAGGGACCGCCTCCTGCACGAGGAGCTCGCTCGGCAGCAGAGCAACGAGCGGCTCCGCGTGCAGTTCGCCAACCTGGCCAACCAGAGCGGGCCGCTCATCCACAAGAAGATGGAGGTGCGGCCCGTGTCTCCATGTCCTCTCCCTCCACATGTCTCTGTGTCCCCGTGTCCCCGTGTCTCTGTGTCCCCGTGTCTCTGTCCCCATGTCCCCGTGTCCCTGTGTCTCTCTGTCCCCATGTCCCTGTGTCCCTGTGTCTCTGTGTCCCCGTGTCTCCATGTCCTCTCCCTCCCCATGTCTCTGTGTCCCCGTGTCTCTGTGTCCCCGTGTCTCTCTGTCCCCATGTCCCCGTGTCCCTGTGTCTCTCTGTCCCCATGTACCCGTGTCTCTGTGTCCCCGTGTCTCTGTGTCCCCGTGTCTCTGTGTCCCCGTGTCTCTGTGTCTCTGTGTCCCCGTATCTCCGTGTCCCCGTGTCTCTGTGTCTCTGTGTCTGTGTCCCCATATCTCCATGTCCCCGTGTCTCTGTGTCCCCGTGTCTCCGTGTCCCCGTGTCTCCGTGTCCTCACCGTGCCCCCGTGTTTCTCTGTCCCCGCAGTGTCTGTCCCCATGTTTCTGTGTCCCCGTGTGTCTGTCCCCATGGTCTCTGTGTCCCCGTGTGTATGTCCCCGTGTCACTGTGTCCCCGTGTCTCTGTGTCTCTGTGTCCCCGTGTCCCCGTGTCCCCGTGTCTCCGTGTCCCCGTGTCTCTGTGTCCCCGTGTCCCCGTGTCCTCACCGTGCCCCCATATTCAAACCCTTGACCTCGGTTATGCCGGCTCAGCGTCTCGGCCACGGCCACCGTGAACCTCCCCCCTCCACTCTGCGTGGCCCCGCCAGGAGATTGGACGCATCTCCATGGAGCTGCACGGCACGCTGGAGGACCAGCTGGTGCAGCTGCGCCAGTACGAGCAGAACATCATCAACTACAAGCCCAACATCGACACGCTGGAGAGCGAGCACCAGCTCATCCAGGAGGCGCTCGTGTTCGACAACAAGCACACCAACTACACCATGGAGGTACTCCGCCATTTACTAGGCCGACTGAGCTGTACAGCTCTTTTTTATTTGTGATGGGCATCACAAATTGATAGCTCACCGAAGCGGCTTATCGTCGCCGTGCGGAAATTTACAGCGGCCAAACACTCGAAACGCGTGACGAGGACCCGGAGAAAAATTGTGATCGAACCCACGAACTCCTGCATACCAGGCGAGGTAGTAAACATCTCACCACCGTGGCGGGATGTGAAAACAGCTTACCACGCTCACCTTGCCAACTACATCGCGGATGTGAGCTCGGCTCACTCGCTCGCTCACCACTTTCATCGCACCAGCTGCAATGTGGAGGTGAGCACACCGCAGCACGTGTTACCCTGCGTGTGTACGTGCACGCGCGCGCGTGTACGTGTTACCCTGCGTGTGTGTACGTGTGTGTACGTGTGTGTAGGTGTGTGTCACGGCAGTTGCGGAGAGCGGTAGTGTATCGGGTAGCGGGCTGCGCTATGAACCCACGACGACAAGTTCGGTTCCCGCTCGTGGCCAGCACCAATGACGATTATCTGAACTTTTCCTGGGCCTCCACTAGGTCGACTCGGCCTCAACTGCGTACCCGTTGCGGTGCGCAGTAAACTTAACCACCGGCGAGACAAATGCGGCCGGGCGTGGTGCTGGCCACCCGCCCGCCCCCCTCTTGTGCCGTGCCGGCCTTCGCGGTGCCACTCGCGAACGGCACTTGCCCCGACGGTCTTTGAAGGCTACGCGGGGGTTCTTTTTCTCTGCGTGTGCGTGTCGCGGCGCAGCACATCCGCGTGGGCTGGGAGCAGCTGCTGACGACGACCGCGAGAACCATCAACGAGGTGGAGAACCAGATCCTGACGCGGGACGCCAAGGGCATCAGCAAGGAGCAGCTCCACGACTTCCGAGCGTCGTTCAACCACTTTGACCGGGTGAGGTCACCGCGACCCGGGGCTGAGAGGTCACCGCGACCCGGGGCTGAGAGGTCACCGCGACCCGGGGCTGAGAGGTCACCACGACCCGGGGCTGAGAGGTCACCATGCCCCGGGACTGCGAGGTCACCGCGACCCGGGGCTGAGAGGTCACCGTGACCTGGGACTGAGAGGTCACATGACCTGGGGGTCAGAGGTCACAACGACCCGGGGCCGAGAGGTCACATGACCCGGGGCTTAGAGGTCACATGATCCGGGGCTAAGAGGTCACATGATCCGGGGCTGAGAGGTCACATGACCCGGGGCTTAGAGGTCACATGACCCGGGACCGTTTTGACCAGGTGAGATCACGTGACCTGTGGCTGTTCTGACTGGGTCACCATGAACAGCCAGTGGTTGAAATTCCACATTCCTGCGGTGGGGCCAAGTCCGCTCCCTGTTTGAATGTCTCTCCACCCCGGTGGGCAAACTGCAGAGAGATGTGCGACCGCCCTCGCATCGCGATGATGACGTAACCGTGACGGTCTGACCCAAATGCCAACCTCTGAACCCCACCTCCCCCCCGAGTGTGGGCCACTATCGGCGTGCGTTGCTGCGTCGCGATTCTCGCCCTGCCAAACCGACCAATGGGAACGCAGCGTCAGTTTCCGTGGTTGTGCGGGGGGCGTCGGGAGGAGTTCACCGCTCCGTACGGATTTTCTGTCTCCTAACGAGCACTCTGCTAACGAGCACTCTGCTAACGAACCTGTTCTAACCGCCAGCTCCATCCCCGGTGGCTAGGAGATGTTTACTCCCTCGCCTGGTGTACAGGAGGTCGTGGGTTCGATCCCGACCCTGAGGCACCAGGCCCTTCAGCTACAACGACGTTCATTTCGATTATTTGGCTGCTATAAATCTCCACACGATGATAATCCACTCCGTAGTGCAGTGGGGGCCCTTAAATAATAGTTTTGAGTTTAAATCACTCAGTTGAGATGCAAACAGCAGCAGCAGCATCACCCCCGATCCCCAACTGTGAACAAGTGAGCACAGGACCGTCCTCAAAAGGAGTCTGTGAGGCTTTTCTCGGTAAACAAGCGGAATAATAAACAACAACAACAATAACAACAATAACAAGAACTTGCATGAGCTCTGATAACCATGAGCTGTTCTCCCTCTGGTGCATGTGTGCATGGCATCTGCCCTCCCCTCAACTATCAACCACCAATACCACCACCGCCGCCACCACCACCGCCACCACTAACCTCACTAACTCTCATGCCATCACTCCTGCCTCAAACGCCACCACCGCCACCATCACCATCGTTACCACCACCACCGCCATCACCAATCGTCGTCACCACACTTACTTGTGATAACCCTGAAACCACATTAACCGCTCAACCGCCTCTTAACAAGCGCGTTCTCCTAACGACACAAACCTACCTCGCCTTGATCTATTTATATACCACAACCACCGTCACAACCACCATCACTGCTACCACTACCAAACACAACAATATCACTGCTACCACTAGCACCACCACCATCAACACCACTGACTTGGACCACCACTGCCATCCATACCACCACCACTACCGCCTGATGCCACCACTACCACCACCACAATCACTACCACCACCACCACAATCACCACCACCACCACCACAACCATCACCACCACCACCACTGCGGGTTGGCCGACCGCCCCAGGACCGCTCGGGGAACCTGAGACCGGAGGATTTCCGCGCGTGTCTCATCTCGCTGGGCTTCAGTATCGCTAACGATGCACAGGTACCGTCGGGGCGACGCCCAGACCCCGCGCGGGCCTCGCTCGGCCCTCCGCCGCCGCCGTCACCGTGCCGCCGTCGTCACCGTGCCGCCCGCTAAACGCGTCTCGTCCGTGTGTTCTGTGTCTCCTCCCCCCTCCCCCTCTTCTTCTTCTTGTGCCGGTGCGTGTCCCTGTCCCTCTACCCTCCCCGCTTCTCGTATTCGCGTCTCTCCGCGTGTCCCTCTCCCTACCTCCCCCCTCCCCCCCCCCCCCCCTCGTCTGTCCACGCCTGTGTCTCCGTGTTTCCGCGTCTCCCGCACCTCGCACGCGCCTCCCTGCGCCCCGTCCCCTCCGCGCACTCCCCGCCGCTCCCGCGCACGAACCGCTCGCTCCCTGCCGCTCCCCGCCGCTCCGCACCCTCGCCGCTCGCCCACGCTCCGCATCAAGCTCACCCCCCCCCCCCCACGCTGTCGCTGCTGCGCCGACCGTGACGAGCGGCGCGCAACCCCCCCACGGCACCCCCCCCCTCCCCCCCACGGCCCCCCCCCCCCCCACACCGGCCACCCTCACGGCTCTCTGCGTGCACGCCGTGCGTCTGCAAACTCCCTGTCCTCCACCCCCCCCCTCCCCCCCCACCGTGCGTGAGGCTTGACCCCGCTCGGTCACACGTGCGTGGCCCGCTGCAACACGTGACACGTGTGTTACATGCGTGACACATGTGACACGTGTGTTGCAACTGAACCAAACTCTAGCGCCGTGTCGTCGATGGTACCTGTGGCCTGATAATGCCTCTTCGTGTGTGCGCGTGGCTCACTTCGTGCGTGACTCACTCCGTGTCTCTGTGCGTGACTCACCGTGTGTGCGTACATCTGTGTGTGCATGCATCTGTGCGTGCATCTGTGTGTGCGTGCATGTGTGTGCGTGCATGTGTGTGCATGTGTGTGTGCATGTGTGTGTGCGCGTGCATGTGTGTGCATGTGTGTGCATGTGTGTGCATGTGTGTGTGCATGTGTGTGTGCATGTGTGTGCGCGTGCGTGTGTGTGCGTGTGAGTGCATGTGAGTGCGTATGTGTGTGCATGTGAGTGCGTGTGTGTGTGCATGTGTTTGTGCATGTGTGTGTGCGTGTGGAAATGCTGCTCTGTAACCTTTCTGCCCAATCGCTCTAATGACCTCTGACCCTAACACCACTCACCGACCCCCGACCTCCTTTCTGTTGCCTTCTCTTCTGTCCGTCCCTCACCCCTCACCCCTCACCGGCTGAGATCGTGGGATTGAACCCACATCTCTCACCCCCCTCCTCCCCCCCCCCCCCACTCTGGCCTCCTCAACCTCCACAACTGCTTCCTTCTGCATCGCATCACCTTGCTGACACGCGCATGCGTGCGCGTGCGTGCCCATGCCTGCGCGCGTGTTTACACGTGTGTTTATGCACGTGTGCGCGCGTGCGTTCACGTGTGTTCACGTGTGTTTGCATGTGTTTGTGTGCGCATGTTCACGCTCGCGTGCGTGCGTGCGTTGCCTGCATGCGCGAGGCACCTCCTCCCCTGGCCGACGCTCACCACCACCACCTCCACTCCTCCGTCTCCCCCAATCAAAACCTCGCACGGCAACCCCCCCCCCCCCGACGCCCCCTCCCCTCCCATCGCGTACCCCCCCCCCGCGACCCCACCCACCCTTCCCCAACCCTCACGCCGAACAGAGAAAGAGTGGCATGATGGAGCCAGATGATTTCAGGGCTTGCCTCATCTCCATGGGTTACGTGCTGGTACGAATCCACATCCCACGTCGACGGAGACCCCATCGGAGACCCCATCAGAGACCCCATCAGAGGCCCCATCAGAGACCCCATCAGAGGCCCCATCAGAGGTCCCATCAGAGGTCCCATCAAAGACCCCATCAGAGACCCCATCAGAGACCCCATCAGAGGTCCCATCAGAGGTCCCATCAGAGGTCCCATCAGAGGTCCCATCAGAGACCCCATCAGAGGTCCCATCAGAGGTCCAATCAGAGGTTCCATCAGAGGTTCCATCAGAGGTCCCATCAGAGGTCCCATCAGAGACCCCATCAGAGGTCCCATCAGAGGTCCCATCAGAGGTCCCATCAGAGGTCCCATCACAGACTCGACTGACTGTCATTCTCTTTCGCCTCTTCAGTAATTGGCTCTGTCAGTCATGCAGTTGTCTCTGTGTGTTTCTGTGTATGTGATGGTGTCCGTGTCTCTGCGTGAGTGTTTCTGTGTATGTGATGGTGTCCGTGTCTGTGCGTGAGTGTTTCTGTGTATGTTGAGTGTTTCTGTGTCTGTGCGTGAGTGTTTCTGTGTATGTGTGTGTCCGTGTCTGTGCGTGAGTGTTTCTGTATCCATGTATCTCCGTGTCCACATGTCTACGTTTTTCCTTGTCCCCGTGACTGTGTCTGTCCATGCATGTCTGTATGTCTCTGTCTCCCTGTATCCGCGTGTGCGTGTGTCTCCGCGTCTTCACGCTCCACGTCTTTGTGCGTGTTCACATGTCTCCATGCCCATGTGTGCACGTGCTCGTCCGTGTAAATCTCTGCGTGTCCACGTGCATCTTTTGCTCGTGTTGTCTCGGTGCCCACGCGTGTCCGTGTGGCTGTGCGCACATCTCTGCGTCTCCCCACGTGTCCCCGCACGCCGAGTCTTCTCGTGTCTGCGTGTCCGTGTATATCCGTGTACCCACATCTGGGTGTCTCCGTGTGTCTCCCTGTCCATGTCTACGTGTCCCCGTGTGTGTCTCCGCCGTGTCCCCTCACCCGTGTCCCCCCTGCGTGCGTCTCAGGGAGAGGCCGAGTTTGGCCGCATCATGGCCGTGGTCGACCCCAACAGCACGGGGGTCGTGACCTTCCAGTCCTTCATCGACTTCATGTCGCGCGAGACGGCCGACACCGACACGGCTGACCAGGTCATCGCCTCCTTCAAGATCCTCGCCGGGGACAAGGTCCGCACGTCCGCCCGGCGCCTCCCCGTGACTCTCCCCATATCTCTCCCCACGACTCCCCGTGTCTCCCCGTGACTCTTCCCATATCTCTCCCCACGGCGACTCTCCCCCACGTCTCCCCACGCCGACTCTCTCCGCGTGTGTCTCTCCCCCCAGAGCTACATCCTGCCGGAGGAGCTGCGCCGGGAGCTGCCCCCGGACCAGGCTGAGTACTGCATCGTGCGCATGGCCCCCTACGCGGGGCCCGACGGCGTGCCCGGGGCTCTCGACTACACCTCCTTCTCCACGGCGCTCTACGGGGAGAGCGACCTCTAGACGCACGCTGGGGGGGGGGGGGGGCGGGTGTGGGGGGTCCTGGTGGGGGGGGGCGCGTGTGGGGGGTGCTGGTGGGGGGGGGGGCGGTGTTTTGCCCACAGGCACACGCAGCGGCTCACGCGCTCGCAGTTCACGGCGCGTGCACACACGCACACACACACGTCTCGTCGTGAGTGCACACCCTCCACACGGGCTGGGACTCGAACCCGGGTAGCCGTGCTCGGTAGCAGCAGCGTGCGAGGCACGCTCCGCTCGCATACGCTCGCGCACGCGCGCACACGTACAAGACAAATATACACACGTACACACAGAGACAAAGATCCCCCATATAGCCTTTCCAGACTGTTGGGGCAAGTGCTGTTAGTGAGCACCTATGAAAGCCGGCACGGCACACGAGGGGGTGGGTGGCCAACACTGCGCCCGGCCGCCTTTGTCTCCCCAGTGGCGATGTTTACACACCGCACCAGGCACTTATTTGAGGCTGAGTCGACCTCAGGGAGGCCCAGGCTCGGTTCACATTATCGTCACCGGTGTTGGCCGTGAGTGGGAATCGAACTTGGGTGTCGGCAGGGTTCGTAGTGCAGCGCACTGAACGCCTCACTAGACACACATACACACATACACACATATAGACACACACACATAGAGATATACACACACATACAGTCACAAACACACACGTATATAGAGGTAAACACACACAGGTAGACGTGAAACAGCAGGTGTCACCCGTTCACGGAAGGATTTTTTCGTTTGACTTTTTTAACTTTTTGAGACCAAACATCCTCTTGGGACTGAGACGCCGGATCGGCGCCCCCAGTTGCCCCTTGGTTGCCGCTGGTTGCCGCTGGTTGCCCCTTGGTTGCCACTTGGTTGCCGCTGGTTGCCGCTGGTTGCCCCCTGGTTGCCGCTGGTTGCCGCTGGTTGCCGCTGGTTGCCCCCTGGTTTCCGCTGGTTGCACGGCGGCTCCCCAGTTCGCATCTCCAGACTCGCAGAACTCTGCCATTGAAAACGCTGGGGGGGGCAGGGGGGGGATAGGTGACGTGGAGTTTGGAGTTGGTGGATCACGCGAGGATGGGACAATCTTGTGCACGGCACGCACGGCAATGGAAGTGTGGGGAGGGGGGGGCGGTGCCTGCTGTGTGCAGTACAGCAAGTAGGTTGCCCAGTATGTTTACAGTCCTTATTGGGGGAAGATACAGTGTTGTTGGCGAGGCGTGCGGTATAACGAATATAAATAAATAATAGCTTCTACCCAGGGCGGTGTCACACGCGTGACCCTGCACACGTGTGACCCTGCACACGCGTGACCCTGCACACGCATGACCTGCACACACGTGACTCTGCACACGCGTGACCCTGCACACACGTGACCCTGCACACGCGTGACCCTGCACACGCGTGACCCTGCACACACGTGACTCTGCACACGCGTGACCCTGCACACGCTGGCCCATGTCCCCACGCCACCAGTGAGGGGGGAGCGGCACGCGGGGCTCCGCGTGGGATGTCTGTCACGAGTGGTCGTCCTCTGGGAAACATCCTGGGCCCCACCATAGGAGTGTGGAATCTCCACTATTGCTTCAGAGTTGCCGACACAGACGAACGCACCCCCCCCCCCCCTTGTGGTTTTTGGAGCGGGCAAGGGCGGCCGCCGACAATTTGTGTCTCCGACGTCCAACCTCGCGTGCCAAGTGTGAATTTATCGCAATTAATAAAGACATTCTGTTATTATACTCATCATCATCATCTTCTAAACGCGTCGCATCGTAGAATTCTTAGCGTCTCTCTCTTTTGCTACGACCCACAATTTACTCTTGCTTTATAAACGAAGACGATCTTTCTGAAGCTTCAATATAATCACTTTTCTCGCGTTCGAATTTCTATCTTGGGCCCTGTGCCCGAGAGCGGCGGGGGTGCGCTCAGCACGCAGACCTCGCGGGCTCACAGCTTCTCGTGGGCAGGGTGGAGAACTCTTTCTAACTCGTTGTTGTTGGGGTTGTTTTGTTAAATCGGGAAGCTCCTCGTCGCTGGCGCTTGGGTTCGCAAGGCCCCTCTCTCTCGAGGCCCCTCTCTCTCTCGTGTACCCCGGGGAACGCTGCGCGTCGTTTCGCGACACCTGTCGACCGCCCCCTCCCCGAGTCCCAAGCGCGCCGGCGGCGCTCGCCGCACACTCCTCGGTGAACGTGGAACCGCTGGAGCCAACGTTGGTCCCAATCACATTACCAACGTTGACCCAACGTTGACCCAGCCCAAATCGCCAACGTCGTCGTGTTTACTTGCGGCCAAGCCAACAACGCAGCGAGCGGGTAGGCCCCCTCCCTCCTCCCGTGGCGCCTCCTCGTGACGAGCCCCGAGGTTGGGTTGGCGACTTGCCCCGCTGTTAAGGGTTTGTTTATGTTTGTTAACGTCGCTGGTTTAGGACCCCCAGGACGTGGCGAAGCCCGCAGCTCGCCCAGCGACGCGCTGCTACCGCCACCACCACGAGTAGACGCTCGCTTAGTCAGCGGCTGGCTCCGACCAGCCGGCCGGTCTTGCTGACGGTGATTACGGAGTGCCGGGTGCCTGTCGTGCACCGCCAGGGGGCTTGAAAAACGTCGACATTTGCCAGGACCACTGCCCAACTTCTGGGCTGTTCTCAGACCACCGGAGCGGGGGGGGGGGGGGGGTCCCCCCAGGGGGCCTCTCTCTGGCCGTAGAGGTGGTCCTGAGATCTGCCAGAACTCCTGACGCGACGCCGGGGAGACGCTGCCCGGCTTTGCGAGTCCTTTCTGGGCCTTCTTGATTCAACGTCTCTCTGGAGGCCATCCGTCACTCGAGGCCTCCGACGTGTTTATTTTCGTCAGGGTTTTTTTGCGATTGCGTTCAGGGTCCCTCCCCAGGCGGCCGTCACGACGCTCTGGAAGGCCCTCGGTTTTGAAACCGTCCGTCTTGAGAGGCTTTTTGAAGTTTTGTAATGGCTTGCAAGGCCCGTTGAAGAGGCGGATGTCCCTTGAGACTCTTGAAGGCTCATTCAATCTCTCGACGTGAACTCTCGCAATGCCCTCTGACCTAAGGCCCTCTGACCTAAGGCCCTCTGACTCGACGTAGGCCCTAACCCGCTCGAAACTGTGCCTTGTGTTCGGATTCTAGAACGATTTTTTTCTTTTTACAAAAAAAAAGTGTTCGTGGCTACTTTTGTAAACACGGGGGGGGGGGGGGGATCCTGATGAAAAGGGCAAACAAAAACAACCAGACGTATGGACGTACACGGACGGCGCCACTCCACATTCACGTGGCAGGGCCCAGTTGGCCCGTAGAGGTTTTGGATCCGCCAGAGCCATGCACTGTGCAGATATCAACCATCGAAGGGCCTCCTTCGGTGGGTATTTTGTGAATGAAACCTATTCTGGTACTAAAGCTGGGCGGGAATTTTGACCAAAACACATCACGGGTTTGTGAATGATTCTTTATCAATGATTGAGCAATGGCGCGACTTTCAGCTTTTAAACGGCAGTCTCTGCTTACTGTTCTACTATTAAATGTTCATCTTTTTCCCGAGTCTCGTGTTGTTGTTGATTGGTTGCTGTTGATTTTTTGTGGGAAAGAAATCCTTGACCTTGGGGTTCCTCCTCCTGACGCGTCTCGGGTCGTGAGATGATGTCCCGCTGCTGGAATGAGTGGACGCTGCGGCGACGTCGCCTTGCAAGTTGCCAACACACCAAGCAATCACCTTCTGGAAGGGTCTCGTGACTTTAAAATGCCGCTGTGCCTGGCCTTTGTAAGTCGTGAAGAGGCGTTGGGACTCGCGAGAAATGGATGGCAGTGGTCACGCAAACTCTCACACCCACTGTAGTCAGATCGAAAACTCCTCACCTACGCTATAGCCCAGACAAAGAACTCATTACGCACTGTGTAGTACAGACCAGAACTCATCACGCACTCTGAAGTCAGATCGATAACTCACCACACACTGTGTAGTACAGACCAGAACTCATCACGCACTCTGAAGTCAGATCAATAACTCACCACGCACTGTGTGGTACAGACCAGAACTCATCACGCACTCTGAAGTCAGATCAATAACTCATCACGCACTGTGTGGTACAGACCAGAACTCATCACACACTCTGAAGTCAGATCGATAACTCACCACGCACTGTGTAGTACAGACCAGAACTCATCACGCACTCTGAAGCCAGATCAATAACTCACCACGCACTGTGTAGTACAGACCAGAACTCATCACACACTCTGAAGTCAGATCGATAACTCACCACGCACTGTGTAGTACAGACCAGAACTCATCACGCACTCTGAAGTCAGATCAATAACTCACCACGCACTGTGTGGTACAGACCAGAACTCATCACACACTCTGAAGTCAGATCGATAACTCACCACGCACTGTGTAGTACAGACCAGAACTCATCACGCACTCTGAAGCCAGATCAATAACTCACCACGCACTGTGTGGTACAGACCAGAACTCATCTCGCACTCTGAAGCCAGATCAATAACTCACCACGCACTGTGTAGTACAGACCAGAACTCATCACACACTCTGAAGTCAGATCGATAACTCACCACGCACTGTGTGGTACAGACCAGAACTCATCACACACTCTGAAGCCAGATCAATAACTCACCACGCACTGTGTAGTACAGACCAGAACTCATCACGCACTCTGAAGCCAGATCAATAACTCATCACGCACTGTGTAGTACAGACCAGAACTCATCACACACTCTGAAGCCAGATCAATAACTCACCACGCACTGTGTGGTACAGACCAGAACTCATCACGCACTCTGAAGCCAGATCAATAACTCATCACGCACTGTGTAGTACAGACCAGAACTCATCACACACTCTGAAGCCAGATCAATAACTCACCACGCACTGTGTGGTACAGACCAGAACTCATCACACACTCTGAAGCCAGATCAATAACTCACCACGCACTGTGTGGTACAGACCAGAACTCATCACGCACTCTGAAGCCAGATCAATAACTCATCACGCACTGTGTAGTACAGACCAGAACTCATCACACACTCTGAAGCCAGATCAATAACTCATCACGCACTGTGTGGTACAGACCAGAACTCATCACGCACTCTGAAGCCAGATCAATAACTCACCACGCACTGTGTAATACAGACCAGAACTCATCACGCACTCTGAAGCCAGATCAATAACTCACCACGCCCTGTGTGGTACAGACCAGAACTCATCTCGCACTCTGAAGCCAGATCAATAACTCACCACGCACTGTGTAGTACAGACCAGAACTCATCACACACTCTGAAGTCAGATCGATAACTCACCACGCACTGTGTAGTACAGACCAGAACTCATCACGCACTCTGAAGCCAGATCAATAACTCACCACGCCCTGTGTGGTACAGACCAGAACTCATCACACACTCTGAAGTCAGATCAATAACTCATCACACACTGTGTAGTACAGACCAGAACTCATCACACACTCTGAAGTCAGATCGATAACTCACCACGCACTGTGTGGTACAGACCAGAACTCATCACACACTCTGAAGCCAGATCAATAACTCACCACGCACTGTGTGGTACAGACCAGAACTCATCACGCACTCTGAAGCCAGATCAATAACTCATCACGCACTGTGTAGTACAGACCAGAACTCATCACGCACTCTGAAGTCAGATCAATAACTCATCACGCACTGTGTAATACAGACCAGAACTCATCACGCACTCTGAAGCCAGATCAATAACTCACCACGCACTGTGTAGTACAGACCAGAACTCATCACGCACTCTGAAGTCAGATCAATAACTCATCACGCACTGTGTAATACAGACCAGAACTCATCACGCACTCTGAAGCCAGATCAATAACCAATCACGCACTGTGTAGTACAGACCAGAACTCATCACACACTCTGAAGTCAGATCAATAACTCACCACGCACTGTGTAATACAGACCAGAACTCATCACACACTCTGAAGCCAGATCAATAACTCACCACGCACTGTGTAGTACAGACCAGAACTCATCACGCACTCTGAAGTCAGATCAATAACTCACCACGCACTGTGTAGTACAGACCAGAACTCATCACGCACTCTGAAGCCAGATCAATAACTCACCACGCACTGTGTAGTACAGACCAGAACTCATCTCGCACTCTGAAGCCAGATCAATAACTCACCACGCACTGTGTAGTACAGACCAGAACTCATCACGCACTCTGAAGTCAGATCAATAACTCATCACGCACTGTGTAATACAGACCAGAACTCATCACGCACTCTGAAGCCAGATCAATAACTCACCACGCACTGTGTAGTACAGACCAGAACTCATCACGCACTCTGAAGCCAGATCAATAACTCACCACGCACTGTGTGGTACAGACCAGAACTCATCTCGCACTCTGAAGTCAGATCAATAACTCATCACGCACTGTGTAGTACAGACCAGAACTCATCACACACTCTGAAGTCAGATCGATAACTCACCACGCACTGTGTAGTACAGACCAGAACTCATCACGCACTCTGAAGCCAGATCAATAACTCACCACGCACTGTGTGGTACAGACCAGAACTCATCTCGCACTCTGAAGCCAGATCAATAACTCACCACGCACTGTGTGGTACAGACCAGAACTCATCACACACTCTGAAGCCAGATCAATAACTCACCACGCACTGTGTAGTACAGACCAGAACTCATCACGCACTCTGAAGCCAGATCAATAACTCATCACGCACTGTGTAGTACAGACCAGAACTCATCACACACTCTGAAGCCAGATCAATAACTCACCACGCACTGTGTGGTACAGACCAGAACTCATCACGCACTCTGAAGCCAGATCAATAACTCATCACGCACTGTGTAGTACAGACCAGAACTCATCACACACTCTGAAGCCAGATCAATAACTCACCACGCACTGTGTGGTACAGACCAGAACTCATCACACACTCTGAAGCCAGATCAATAACTCACCACGCACTGTGTGGTACAGACCAGAACTCATCACGCACTCTGAAGCCAGATCAATAACTCATCACGCACTGTGTAGTACAGACCAGAACTCATCACACACTCTGAAGCCAGATCAATAACTCATCACGCACTGTGTGGTACAGACCAGAACTCATCACGCACTCTGAAGCCAGATCAATAACTCACCACGCACTGTGTAGTACAGACCAGAACTCATCACGCACTCTGAAGCCAGATCAATAACTCACCACGCCCTGTGTGGTACAGACCAGAACTCATCTCGCACTCTGAAGCCAGATCAATAACTCATCACGCACTGTGTGGTACAGACCAGAACTCATCACGCACTCTGAAGCCAGATCAATAACTCACCACGCACTGTGTAGTACAGACCAGAACTCATCACGCACTCTGAAGCCAGATCAATAACTCACCACGCCCTGTGTGGTACAGACCAGAACTCATCTCGCACTCTGAAGCCAGATCAATAACTCACCACGCACTGTGTAGTACAGACCAGAACTCATCACACACTCTGAAGTCAGATCGATAACTCACCACGCACTGTGTAGTACAGACCAGAACTCATCACGCACTCTGAAGCCAGATCAATAACTCACCACGCCCTGTGTGGTACAGACCAGAACTCATCACACACTCTGAAGTCAGATCAATAACTCATCACACACTGTGTAGTACAGACCAGAACTCATCACACACTCTGAAGTCAGATCGATAACTCACCACGCACTGTGTGGTACAGACCAGAACTCATCACACACTCTGAAGCCAGATCAATAACTCACCACGCACTGTGTGGTACAGACCAGAACTCATCACGCACTCTGAAGCCAGATCAATAACTCATCACGCACTGTGTAGTACAGACCAGAACTCATCACGCACTCTGAAGTCAGATCAATAACTCATCACGCACTGTGTAATACAGACCAGAACTCATCACGCACTCTGAAGCCAGATCAATAACTCACCACGCACTGTGTAGTACAGACCAGAACTCATCACGCACTCTGAAGTCAGATCAATAACTCATCACGCACTGTGTAATACAGACCAGAACTCATCACGCACTCTGAAGCCAGATCAATAACCAATCACGCACTGTGTAGTACAGACCAGAACTCATCACACACTCTGAAGTCAGATCAATAACTCACCACGCACTGTGTAATACAGACCAGAACTCATCACACACTCTGAAGCCAGATCAATAACTCACCACGCACTGTGTAGTACAGACCAGAACTCATCACGCACTCTGAAGTCAGATCAATAACTCACCACGCACTGTGTAGTACAGACCAGAACTCATCACGCACTCTGAAGCCAGATCAATAACTCACCACGCACTGTGTAGTACAGACCAGAACTCATCTCGCACTCTGAAGCCAGATCAATAACTCACCACGCACTGTGTAGTACAGACCAGAACTCATCACGCACTCTGAAGTCAGATCAATAACTCATCACGCACTGTGTAATACAGACCAGAACTCATCACGCACTCTGAAGCCAGATCAATAACTCACCACGCA